TTGTTCGATATTTTCACGATAAAATGGCTCTGTAAATGCATAAAAATGCATTTACAGAGTGAAATTAGTGTGTGGAATAAGAATGTCTTTGACAATTTAGCTGGCAAAAGACACGAAAAATCGTCGATTCTTTCGTATTTGAAGCAATTTGGAAATCGAAGCGGAATAGAATTTAACATTAGTAAATAATATAAAATAAATATTGAAAATTGTAACGAGATAATTATGGCTAATAGATATATTATATCTAAATAAATAGATGTTATATGTTTTTATCAGAGCAAGAATTGGCATTTAGAGGGCATATGGAATATATTGGATCTAATAACAGAGGTAATTATAATGAACTTGTTTATTAAGTACGTCAGATAAATAATCTATTAAAAATACATTTAAAGAAAGAATTAACTGATTGCCCCTGGATGTTGGCTTCTTATAGAAACAGCTTCCCTATCATCAAATGTCACGGCACGCCCCTGGAATGAAAGAATTATTAGATGAAGGCATGATGATAGTGAATAAGGACTATAACCAATAGGAAAGAATTAAATTCATAATTCTTATACTGTATTTCACTGATATAGATTATTGTTAAACTTTTCCTGAAAAATGTTCTATATCATCTTGAAGGAAAAAATTCATTATCTCATTCAAGCCTGGACAACTATCCATATTGGCCAACCAAGTACCAGTACTGAACATAAGAATATTACTCTAATATTCATAGAAGGCATTGCAACTTTTGATGTTCACTTTCAAAAGAGGATTTGTCCCTTTTCTGATGGGATATGACACTGATATAGATTTATAGTGGTTTCAACAAAATGATGTAAGATTCCATATTAAAAATATCACATAGTTTACAAAATTTGAGATAATAATAAAAAACACCCTATATAAAGTTTCCATGGATTAAAATTATAATCCAATCAAATTGAACAGAGTAAAATGATAAACTATTTTTAATTCATAAAATTATTTTGAATGTTTGAAATACTCTGTTAGGGAAAAGTGTTTGCAATTTAAAAACATAAAAATGAAAGTAATTAAAATTATATTGATAATCATAATCCAATATGCCTATCCTAATGATATGCCATTCCTATACTGCAGGTTAACAACTGAAAATTAATTAAAGATTATTCTTGATAAAAGTAAATTAAATGTCTATGCATTATTCACTCATGGATAAAATTTTAATGCTGCAACAACATGCAAATTAAAAAATTTAATTATTTAAATTAAAGTAAAACTGTTTCTAATACTTTTAATATAGATTATTTAAAAAAATATTATGATAACCTTATACAATTTTGAATTAATACATATTTTAAAAATATTTTTATTCCATTAATAAGATAACTTTTTAATATAGCTGTGCTAATAGTATTATCTATTACCTATACTGCTAATAGTAATAGTGCTAATAGTAATAGTGCTAATAGTATATTCTAAAAATATTATTTTTATGAAAATATAAAAAGTTTATTAAAAGTTGTCTATCAACATAAGTAGTGATTTTATTTTAAAATCACTATTTATATGATAGGGCTTATATGTTATGAATTAAACCATATAGAAACATTTATAATATTAATTCATTGAAAAAAGTAAATTGGTAGTTTACATTTCTGTTGACAAACAGTCTTTATTTATTCTATAAATTGATAGAACTAAACTTATAAAATTAAATCTTTTTTTCGGCAATCTTAATCAACAAATTTGGAGTGCTTCTGGGAAATGAAATATAAAATAAAAAATAATTTTATATGAATAATACTAATAAAAAATATCATCACTATCTTCCTACGTATTGTTTAAAGTAGTAAACACAGTATCATATTTTATTAATATATAAGTCCTTAAACACATCTTGTAGGTACAAATGCAGCTCTAAATTACACGATTAGGACCTTTGACCTTTTTTTTATCTACTGAAAGGATCTAAAATTTGGGGGTCCAAACTCCTCATTCACAATTACAATTTTACTATCTTGTAAGAGAATATCCGATGAACAAATTTGGTAAAGAATGTTAAAATATACCAAGAAACAGCATTTTGAAATAACGAAAACATAATCCGCGAAAACATAAACAATATAATAAACAAATACAGATGTGTAAGTTTCCCGCGAAACAATAGAAATCAGTTACAACTCATATACTTAATCAATACACAAATTTTTATTTTATTAAAATTAAAATTAAAATTTAATAATTCAAATCTTATCCTAACATTTTTTCCCCTTAAAGAATTACTTACTTATTTTTTTTATTCGTCAACAAATCCAAATTTATCTCCACATTCTTAATAAATGACCTCCGCCTTCCATTTTCAGACTTAAACTAGGAAGCGGCATTCGTACTGTTTACTGCACGCTCTCTGTTAGAAAAACTTTCAAAGAAAAAAAAATATATATATATATGTACATTTGATTCGCATTTCGTGCTGGATTTGCTTAAATATTTTTAAAATTTCAATTAATATTATTAAAAACTAAATAAAATTTGATTCGACGAGAACCTGTCGACTGGTAGATCGTGAGCTACGTTTATATTAATTGTTGCCAGAAAAATATTTTCTTTTCACTATGTTTTGTAGATTGGAGAAATTTAAAATTTCATTTTACATATTGCCTACTATTTAAAACCTGCTCTTTTATTACTTTCGTTTTACCTTCTTGGATGTTATGTATATGTCATAGAATAAGTTATTAATATGGGCATTATATATCGCGGCTGGATGGCCGAGCGGTCAAGGTGGCAGCCTACCGCTCTGGGGAATCCAGGCTCGAATCACGAACAGGTCGAAAAATCCCCAGGAGATTTTCGGGGGGTGGTCCGTTCGGATATGTCGGGGCCCGTCCCTCACCACCTGGCAGCCCCATTGTGGGCCTGGCGGAACCCATAATGAGTTTGCAAGGAGAGGTTCCCCTAGTGCCCACAGGGCGGAAAGAATTAAGAAAAAAANCAACAACTATATAACAATTTTATCTATTTTAAACACAAATTTATTCAAAAATAAGTATTTTTTTCTTTTAAATTCTTTCTACCCTGCAGTTACTAAAAGTGGCTTCCTTTTTAATATGCATCATTCATACAATGATACAATGAGAATTAAATATTCAAAGAACCAACATATTTAGATCATATCAAAAAATTCTAAGCCACACTAACATGTAAAAAACTGTATGAACTCCTTTACCTGAAGGTATTACAGGTCACCTATGTACTTAGGAAATTTGTTGCAGATGGTAACAGTGGCAGACTAGACTGTGTTTCAAAATGATACTATACACAATGTAAGAAAAATTGTTCATTATTAAAAACCTATTACTCAATATATGGATCTTGTATTTTTACAGAAATGAAAAATTATATTCTGTTTCTGTACCATCACTGAGACACCATTTACTGATTTGTTAGTTTGAAAAAAACAGGAAGTATGTTAAATAAATAAGAAAAAGACACAAATAGATTATCTCAGTTTGCTCTAAAAACATTGTTCAGGAAGCACAGGCAGTGATGTAAAAATTTTTAAGAAAAGGGCTCTAACTTTTATACAAGAGAGTGGAATGTTATATAACATTGAACCAAAAAATCTGGACTTTTGCTGTTTCTGTACAAATGCAACTCACTAACAAGGAGATGGTCAGGTCTCTGATTCAAACAAAACTTGCTGAGCATGTAGCCCTAAACTTAAAAAGTGGGATTGTTTAAATAATAGGATCCACTTCTCAAGCACTTCCAAAAGAAACCAGCCTATGAAAATTGAATGTTTAGGGTATGTCCTACTGCACCGATTGACTGCGAGCAGAGAGAATCTTTGTACATGCTTCCAACTCATGAGTGACTTCTGTCCAGAGTGGATGCATTGTTTACAAAATGAGACAAGACAATTTTGTCAAATGCTTGCTATGGAAAATATGACAAGCATTAAATTTGACAGGTAATTGTTATCACTAATTAGATATACAACAAATATAAAGAATCTTCATAGAATAAAAAGTTAAGAAAAGTTTTATTTCTAAAAACTTATACTTACAAAATCAGAAATTATTAAATTA